CACTAACGTTCGCTCCTGTGTCGAGGGGGATCCTCGCTCGCTGGTCGCTCACAGCACCTTGCACCAGAGCTCTCATTCTTATTCGTCGGTCGGATTTCTTGGCTGACAACCACCCCTGTCTCTCGCCAGGGTTCAACTTCATCATCTTGGAGTGACCCTTGGGCTCGTCTCGCGCTGCACTCGAAACCAAGCCGAGCGAACCCTCGCTGGTGCCCTCATCAGCATCAGCACACTCCACTCTCTCTCCAATACCTCCACCGAGGCTTCTACTCCTCTCCTTTTCATTTTCCGTCGCGTTCACACTTGTTACGTATTTATCAGGCCATTCACTCTGCCCCATGAAAGCAAAGATACACTCTGCTTCCATTGAAGGCTCGGTTAACTGTGGCAGCCCGATAGGGACCAACCCAGTTGTAGTTGGCGGGCTGCCTAGTTTAAATGACGTTCTTGAACGACGGCTTGGAGCTCTGGCGGGAGCTCCTCCTTCGTGCCCTTAGTACGCACGAATTTGGCAAGGTCTTGGAAGTTGCGGAAAAGTTCGCATTGTCCAGCATCGTGGAGTTGTTTGCAGAACTTGCATCGCTTGTTACAGTAGTGGGCGGAGTTACTCATGCCACCGCACACCGCGCATGGTCCGTACTGTGGGCGTCGGTTGACGCGGTTGAAGTCACGTCGACCGCGTTGGTCCTGATTGAACCCACGGTCACCACCTCGGCGATCTTGATTAAATCCATTCTCGCGATCGGACGTATTTCCACGCGGTTGACGGTTGTCTGAACGTGCGTAGGTGCCTTCAGCAGCTGCACGGCGCTCATTTTCGTTAGCAGCGGCGAGGTATCGGTCGTTTTCATCCAATGAGAAATCACCATCCGTATTATCGGGCTAAAAGTCGTTGTACTCGTCTTGGACATCGTTGTAAGCGTTGGGATCTTCGTTTGAATACTCGGTGCCTCCCTGAGCAGCTTCACGACCTTCTAGTTCAGCTAGTAGGTCATCCACCGTGACTTCAATGAGCGTCACTCTTGGTTTGTTTCGGTTGTCATCGCGGCGACGGTCATCACGCCGGTTGTTAAGGGCGTATCCATCGTCGCGTCGCGTATCACGACTCTTGGAGTATCGGTACTCACTGTCACGCTTGGCCATTCTCTCCTTGCCCTTGAGAACATCTTCGATAATCTCTTCGAGCTCGTGAATGTCGGCGACTCGAGCGTGGTAGAGACTCTCCGCTAGCTTGTCATCGTCGCATGTTGCCAGGAACTGCTGTACATGTTCTTTTGCGTCGCGACCACTCTTCTCAAAGTGTAGACGGGCGCTCCGAGCGTAGCCATTCAGCCTGTTTATGTAGTCGCACAGATGTTCATTACGTTCCCGCTTGGCGGAGTAGTAACGCGACAGTGCCGTCTGCGTGAACTGCGAGCAGTAGTAGCGGATGAACGCATCGCTCAGCAGCATCCACTTGCGCTTCGTCTTCTTCGGAAGTTGACGGAACCAATGAATGGCTCCGTCCCGGAGACTTAGCTCAAATTGAATGCACCATTTATCGGCATCTGTGTGGGTTCCAGTCATTTCATAGACGAACCCACGGAGCCACTGCACACAGTTCTCGCTCTTGTTGCGAGAGCCTGAGAACGGCGTGATGCGATCCAGCGGTCGGTGCGAAGCCATTTCAATTCTCGGTGTTGGGTCCACGTCGTTCAGCGTCGCTAGCTCATTCATCTGACGCATCAACTCGAGTTGAGGATCTTCCTCGTCGAATGTACGCACCAAAATGTCATCGTCACTGGACGAACCATCGCTGTCGACTTGGCGACGTCCGGCACCACCTTTGGGAGCTCGCGCACCGCCTCGGTGACCGAACGAGCTCTCGTTACTCGCGTAAATACGTTGCATACGGCTCTTCGAACGTGGCGTAACCATGTGCGAGTCTTGAAAGTACGGTGAAGCTTCGGTAGTGCCAAAGGCACCACGCTCAGCTCCACGCTTGGTCGGAGGAGTACGAACGAGTCGTTGGGGCGTCGGCGGCAGTGGAATCTTGGACGGATCTTCATCTTGAATCATCGGTCGACTCACAGGCTGCTTTCCGGCATTGATGCCAACAGCGCCAAACGCCTTCCGAAGCTTCTTCTTCCATTTCTGGAGAGCAGCTCCGGCTTCATGTGGACTCCAATCTTGGAACGACATCGTCGATGGGTACGTCTCGCTCTCGAAGCCCAGCGACAACAGTAGCGAAACTGAATAATCGGCAACTTGGCTAGTCGAAACCGAGTTGACTGGGTATTGAAGTTCCTGCGCAAGCGCAGGCCAGTCGGATTTTTTCTTGGGGATGGGCTTGAACAGCTGCATCCACTCATCATTCTGCATCAGCGCTTGTACGCGGTCGAAAACGCGCTTGGCGGCTGGTGTATCACCGTTGATAGGTGGGCGAGGTGCTTTCAGCAGCGCTGAATGCTTTGCACTCGCCACCGAAGTTTTAGAACCCTCGGTCCCATCGCCATAATCTTCATAGGCGGGTTCCGGTCCCGCAACATCATCGAGCTCGTCGGCGAGGTTCCTCGAAAGGCACCTGGTCGCCCCGCTCAGCCCCGATGATAGCGTGGTCGTCTCCGGCGTCGCTGCGCCTGGCTCTGGAGCCGGCGTCTTGTCTTCGTAATCTTTATAATCGTGGGCGTCAGGACCGATGTCCGCTTCGTCGTCGAAGCTCACTGAAAGCTCGGTGGCGGCTGCAAAGCGCGCAGCCGGGCTTGAACTCTCGTTGCGAGCCCCGCCAGACTTGGCAGGCGTAACTGGTACCGTCGGTTGTCCTTTCGCCATGTTTCTTGTCTTTTTCTTGTTCTTCTTCTTTTGGTAGCTCGTAAACTGGAAGGCCATACAAACAGCTCACAATGGTCACAATCTGTTCCCGGGTCGCGGCACCAGTTGTGGTGTTGGAAATCCCGCGTGAACTCTAGCTACAAACGTAGTTAGGATGTTGCCACAACAATACGTCTACTAGGATAGTAAATGATCGTTCGGGCGGACCTGAAGACCCCAGTTCTGCCCTTGCACCGGGACAAACTGGACCTTGTAAACTACTTTTATAGGCCAACAAGTAGAAATAAGAACACGCTACTAGCACGAGCAAAGCTAGCAGGTGTTTTGAATCCTCGTGGTCCCAACAGCGGAAGGGTACCAGGCACGGGTAAGCCTTTTACGAGATCACCGAGTGTTCAACACTCGGTAGGAAGAATAAAAGAGAGGCAATTCAAGCACTCCCAGTCGTGCAAATAGGCAACAATAAGCCGTCACGTAAAACCTCCCGATAATAATCGGCCAATACACAAAGTCTCTTGGCCTTGCCGGATGAACCCTCGCTACAGAGCTTCGAGTTCACCGACAGGCATAACACACTCAAACAAGCTTGACCTGACGCTTACCTTGAAGCTGGACGTCGCTCTGTGTGCTTGAGTGGAAATTCTGTTCTGTATTTAAGCTTACCCTTTCGGGTCTATTCCTAATAAGAAGTCCTAATCAAGTATACAAATATCAAGTGAACAATGATCCGTTATGGATCTTCTTGCATGCCAAGCGTCGTGCATGAGCATCTTTAACGGTCCGCGCCCTCTCCCAGACGGTGAACGTGTCTTCCAAAGGTCGCTGAGTCTTCCGCGAACTCATCCCAACCGCCACTGAGGGTTCGTACCGTAGATGGTCCGCTGAATGCGAATCCGGCCAGTCCATTATTAATAATAAGGACAGCCTGGATTCAGTGACATAGGGCCGTATCTGATACTTGTTGAAAACTCGGGAGTGACGCCGTCGAGTCCCTTGCACCTTGGCGTCTCCGTACATCACCTGACTGAGGGTTCGTCGCTTGATCAACTTGGGCGGTGTCACGTCTTTGTCCACGGGTGATAATCCACAACTACGGAGAAATCACTACACCACACCACCGTTGATACCCAGCACCTCCGTGCTCACCCTCGCAGGGTTTATATGGCTTGGGCAAGCCAACGTAGAAGTCCAGATGCGTGCGCATTTTCTTCGAAAAGTTAAACGTATACGCTAGACCCTTCTCGATCACGACCTTAAACGGTCCTATGAACCGAGGTCCCAATTTTTGACTTTCAGAATACAGCCGCTGCATAAGTAGATAGTTTGTTTCGCGTTTAATTAAACTTGTTATCGGACTCAAATCTCTCTATATTGCTTCTGACCTTGGCATCTGCGTGACCCTTCTGCGTGTTTGGCTTTCAGCCATAGCATTGCGCACCTTACGTATTACGCTCAGTCTCAAAGAGACAAAGCCATCGATTTGCTTGCGAGCCGCAACAGGGCCAGTCGCTCGACTATCCACCAGTATCGAGCCCTGACCACTGCATGGCGGCGTCAGTGGGACGCGAGGGTTCACCAAGCCGTTGATAAGAACGGAGTGAAGCCTGTCGAGGCATGCACTGTATTTTAAATGTGAAATCAACACGTGGGAGCATTTGGCTCTAGCTTTTCGGCGGCTCAGCACATACGCCACGGAGGATTTTCTTTACAACACGATTTATGCGTTCGGTTTGACCGTCGGTCTGCGGATGATCGGTTGTGGGCACGTCTAAACGAGTGCCGAACACTCTGAAGAGGGACGTCCAGAATTTCGCGGGTCTCGATCCGAGACAACTGTATCAGGCAAGCCATGTTGGCAAAATACTTGATCTAAAAACAGCAAAGCTGTAACCCTCACCATCCGTGGTGTCCAGCACCACCGCTAAACTGAGCTATATTGCTCAATGGGTCTACAAAGACCACAATACCCGTGTTGCCCACCTTATCATTAAGACATCCCTTAAGGACAGGCAAACTCGCTAACGGCGCTGCCGTGTTCGGCGCGGACTTCGTCCGTTGCCACGTCTCACATGTGCGTACATAGGTACCAACCAATTTGTACAGCTTGGGCTACCAGTACATCGAGCACAAATTACGAAGCTGAACTGACAAACATGCCTCGTTTACTTACGCATTGCGTGGCTGAACAAATGGATCCTCAATATGCGCTCGCACAGTACAAGGCTGACATGTACCAGCACGAAATGGAAACGGGTGAGGATGCTATTGTAGTCGAACGTGGTACGACAAGAGATTAATGTCTATGTTTGAAGGACTAGCAATACGAATGTGAAGTTGCAAGCTCTATGTGTACACCGAGTCGTCATGCCATTGCGTACCGCAAGTACATACGTTTCTCTATGCCCACTATATCGTGGAGCTATATCTACGATTGGTGGGTCAGATTAGCGTTTACCAGGAATCATCCATAATTCTAACATGATTGCTTCTAGTAGTTTAGATAGAACAGACCAGTGGCTAAGCTGCAACCCGTGCCGCAGTTTCAATATCGGGTCGTTGCTGACGATTCGTGCGCGTCAGCTAACCAAAATCTCACACACGCAGAATGGTAAAATATACAGTGAGGGCTACGCATAGGGTTTCCTAAAATACAATTTAAACGGAGGAAGGTAAGGCTCGTAAATAAATAAGGGTATCGTCAGACAATGAGTTAGAATTACACTATGGTTATTCAGCTAGCAGCAAAATACATATCTGGATTTGTATCGCTTGGTTTTAAAGTGTTTGATCTATCAGTAGTTTATTGGCTATTAATAGTTAGGGATGGTTTTGGACTAATTTAAAACTGTCTAATATACTTCCAGAAAACGTCCAAAATTCCATTCAAAATTCAAAACTATCTAAAACTAACAGACAGAATATTCTCATTTGAGGGTCATTGAGCAGCATTGCGGCACTACTGCACTGCCAGTGCCAGCACAAGCTAGGATACTGCACGAGACGTCGGCGCATTGCTCACTGCCCGACCTGGCAGTAGCTGCAAGTCTCGAGCTCATGCAAGAAGCCTAAGAGAAGGCCAACCGGGACCGCAGCCTCACACAGCTCTAGTTCTTGGAACTGCCGAAGTACGTTACCTCTTTTTTTTTGCCTATGTCCACGATATAGTGCGTGACTGACTTCCCATTTGTGTTGTTCTAGTCAATATCTGTGATGCGCCTGTCAAAGCTGTGGACATGTTAATGCAGGGGAATATGCAGCCAGTGGCCCCGAAGGATGCGAATGAACCGATTCCTTTACACGGAGGAAATTCGCGATGCCTTCATGAAACAATTCGCTCTAGTAAGTTGCTTATTTATCTGACACTGGGTCACAAGAAACTCTACCTCACCGATTTCATGAAGATTATCTTACGTGTCAGTTGCCTGCATTATCCGCCCAATACGCAGACGGTGGCTGATGCCGTTCGTAGTCTTCAGGCGCTGCCGCTCAACCACGACGCATTAGTGATACAATTCTGCGAGGTGGGCTCTATTCAAAGACCGTCTAAAGGGAGGTTGGGCATGCTTGTTTGTGCTGCAAATTAAAGAATGACTTATGGGTTTTTAGCTACAGATTTAAGTCATAAGAGCGCGTTGTATTTAATTGAGGATATCTACACTTTCGGGACACGATTGATGCCTTGCAAGGTTGATGTCATCACTTTGAATTGTGCCATAGTTGATGTAGATATAGGCAAGCCTTTCAACTTTTTCAACTGATAGCCTGTTCCTTCGCTTGGAGTGAATGTGGTCGAATATACTCCAGGCCCTCTCACTGGCTGCTGACGACGTAGGAACCGCAAATACCATTTGAGCTACCTTTTTGAGAAGAGGGTAGCTCTTTTCGTCCTTGGCACCCCAATAATCACGTGGAGGTGCTTCTAAATACTTCATTCGTAGATCTTCACCACCCCTCCGCTTCATGCATTTAAATTTGAGAATCTTGGCGGTCAATTTGGCCATATTCGCAGGAGTTATCAGGCCGCATCGTGGCCGCAGTAATTGCACCGCCTGTGTTTCTTTCCATTCTCACGCTCAATAGTATAGTGATTCCAGGTTTCATCACGCGGGCGTCCGACCTTCAGTGGAGACACTCGAAAACGACGAGATGACCCTGGAGTACGAGGCGATCGCGCGGGATTAAGAGAAGTCCTGGGCGACCGGGACGAAGGGTGAGGAGACCTGGGCGATCGTGTAGGAGTAGAAGCACGTGGAGGACGCGATGGTGTTGCTGAGCGAGGTACTTCCGCCACGGTTGGCATAGGGGGGGATCGTGCTGGTGCTGGTGTCGGAAGGGGTCGAGATGGAGGTGGCGAGTGAGGTGGAGGCGAGAACATCACCCTACGCGAGCCTGTTGCCGGCGATGTAAGATCCTCTGGCGGGCTTAGCGGAGAGGAACCTCTTTGGTAAGGGCTGTAGCGAAGCGTCCTCCATAGTGCCGAGCTGGGGGGCGAGCGGAACCTTCCGAAAGCTGCGTGTAGATCGCGGGGAGTATCCCCAGATGATCTTTGCTGTATGTTCTCCCATTGTGGCGGCCCGCTGCCAGTATCTTCCTCCCTTGTCGCCATGAGCAGAGCCGAATCCTCTCTTTCGCCCGGGTACCTTTGGGATTCTATATGAATTTTGGAATTTTGGATACTTCTAAACTGTTTAAAACGTTTTTGTGTATTTTAAACGTTTTTACTCTTCAAATCTGAAACCATCTCTATTAAAAGTCACACTCACAATAAATAATTGTATGGGTCTCGAGAGAAATCAAATATAAGATAAATCAAATATAAGAGAAATCAATTATGGAAGGGGAATCTTAACCCATGAAAATGCATTAAGATATGCATAACATGGTGAACACAATATATGTTTAGGAAACCCTGCGTTCTGAACGACGAACGCTCGGCAAACTATACTCAGCTTCTTCCTCGAGCAATGAAGGGGCGTTTGCAAAAAAAAACATCAGGGCGCCTCAAGAGGGGCGCAAACAAAGCGGGAGGGTGAAGCCGATGTTAAAGATGTTGAAAGCAAAGCCGTTTCCACTGACGATCCTTGCTTGAAGATTTAGTCTGCTGCCATCGAAATTTCTTCTTCCAAACTTAAAGTGCGTACGAATCCAAAAATGCGCAAGGTTGGACGCCCCCAAACGAAAAGGTATACATTGTTGTTAGCGAGAGGACCGATTAAAAGTGGAATATGACCGCCGAGAACGGTCGGGCTACACCACACTCTTGTGAAACGATTACTTGTTGGATTCTCTTAAGCGAGATAACCAGGATTAGCGGAGCCGCAAAGGCGGCTATCAGATAGAACACCAGCTTCTGCTGATCTTGTCAAGTACAGTCAAGCTGCCAACCAGCGGACGTCGCGTGAAAATTCGATTGAAGGTATTAATCCTAGATACACTCTAACATTCTCCCGTCCAATCTGCTATTCAGTTGTATGAAGGAACATTAAGCAGGCCCGTGGTAGTGGGTTCTGAAGCAAAAACGCTACCCGCAAGCAATGAGTTTGTCGAGTTGGTTTAAATTTTAGGACGTAGAATCTTTCTCAAGAACTATTTTGGAATTATAAAGCGGGTGCAGAATTAAAAGGACGCAGTACAGCTTGGGCTGGACTCACACAAGTGGTTGCGCGAGGAAATATACTGCCGTCGTACTGACAGAAGCATCCATTTAGGCCCTGGTTTACCAGCTTTTTTTGAAAAATTACGTCCCGCTGATTTGCAAAAACTATAATTGGGTACATAGCACCTAGCCTTTAAATATCTTAAACATCTACTGCAGCAACCTGTCTGTCCGTCACACTAAATTGTCGTGCCTGTCACGCTTTTCCGGACAAATCATTGGATAAAATAATTTAAATATTTCTACTGGCTGCCGAGCGCAGCGAAGGTGGCCCCGATTGGCCTAAAAGCTGCCGAGCGCAGCGAGGCGGCCCAAATCGGCACCTTCTGCAACCCTGCTGGCCTATGGGCCCGCCTGAGCCACAATCTGCCAGCCTACCATGCGAGTAGTGAAGCGAGCCGTAGCGAGCGGAACGGAGGCAAAACACAAGGAACGACATTCATTCTTTCCCGCCGCGTAGCGGCGGCACTCGGCTAGTGTGCTTCAGAGCTGCCACGCGTGGCACCCGAGCACGATGTGCTCCCAGCTTAATATGTCTAAACTACCAACTAGCGAGTCTGGTGGTTAAAGATGTAAGAGCTCCATCTTTACTTCCTGAACTGGAGCTAGCCACACCACGTTGATGCCACCAGCACTGAGTATATCACGTATTAATATCTGATATCTTCACAATAGCAACTTTGCCAGCCATTACATACCATTATTTTGAAGAAAAAAAGACGCATAATTTGCATTTGATAGATTTTGCATCCCCAAGTTAGTTATTTCAGCAAATAGCTTATCGCATTTATGAATACTTCAGCTCAAAATTAATCGTAAAACTTTTGCACCTTCGTTTTGGCGGCGTCTGAGCTAGTATTAGTGCGTATTGGTTGATTTTTTGCAAGATGTTGTACTCACTTAATCAGTTAAAAATTTAACAATAAACAATATAGAAAATATAGAGGTGCTGAAAATCAGAAGCCATCATCCGCCTACGAATACAGGAGCCGTTGGCTGATATTTCTAAGTCCATGGTAAAGCAGAACACATGTAGAAAACCTGCTTACAGCAACAACGGTCCGTATGATGCTCTTGTACAGAGCTAATATCAGCTGAAGTTTCATTAATAAAAAAACAGTCCTGCGAAGATATATTGATGTCGAGAACTTTTCCAGAGAATGAAACGAAAAATTGGCTATTGGCATTACTTTTTTATTATTGGAAGTTGCCAAGACTAATACAATATAGTATTGGATTCGCTATCGAACTATCGAAGTCACTTCGATCCCATTGTACATTTTGCTTGATAAGACTGACGCGTTCGTATCGGAATCCACGGGTTAACAATCCGTCCCCAGAATGGTAAGAGTTGTTTCGATAGGAGTTTTCTTTTACAGACAATACGTATGATAAAAGTGCTTTCGGGTAGCATCTGGTCACAATCTTCTCAATATGGCATTACTCGTCAAATATGACGACACCAATATTGATGCCCTCTACACGTAAATCGACTTCTTGGAAAGCGTGTTTTCTTTAAACCGTTGTGGCGAAAATAACTATATTAAATGCTACTTACGAAGCGAAACGTTGTTTTTGTTTGGGGCGGTCGAAGCCCATTTTAATTTACATGTATATGTGCTTCTGTATATTACGCGAGTGCAGAAGTCATTTCGATACAGCTGCACGACCTGCTACACCACAGGATCGCGCTGCTCCTACGTTCTAGCTGCGATGATGCTACTCATTCGATTCAGCAAAGATGGCGCTTTGGCAGCTTTATCAAAACAAAGATTCGCTGGTCGTCCACGGCAGCGCCGTCCGTAAGCGAGCCATAGCCAGCGATACAATGTTTTTAAAGCAACCCAGTTTGTCGAGCTTTTTACCGCATTTCCAGCCAGTCAACCGCAGTGAAATATTGTAAGATCGCTGCCTGTCAGAAAGACCCAGGGTATTTTCGAAAGGAAAAGCTTATTAATGAGCAAAGACACAAAAGGCAAGAAACCCTGAGCTGGCTCCTGAGCTAATAATGATGTGTCCTTCATCATGCTCACCATGTAGTTATAACCGAAATGTGTATTTATCCACTAACAGCTCGTGCAGCGTGCACCGAGCGAAGCAAGCAACAGCGCCGTAATTGACCAGAACGCTGTCGACTTCGGAGCGCGTGTCCAGACGCCCATCACTTCGTTCATTGGATCACTTCGTGCATTGCTGTAGCAACGCAGCCCAAGCGTGATTCTGAGCCGCAATCAGGACGACATCTGTGACGGGGTCACACAGCACCTTGCGCTAGAGGAAGTTATCTTCCGAGAGTTTACAAACTCTCAGTGAACGGCAGTTCACAGGTCCCCTCTTTATTGAAAGAGAGCGAAGTGACCTAAATAAGGTAGATTGTAAACTGAGTATATTTATAGGTAGGTTAAGTTTGGGTTTAATACAAACTATAAGCTACCTATAGAAATGCAATGTCGTTTGACCAATGGTTGGCTTTGAGCGACCTTGGTACCTTGTACCAAATATCCCGGAGTATGACGTGTCATACAGCTGAAGTGTGAAGTGTCACACTTCATGTAACCAGGGTACACTTAGGGCTACGTACCCTGTTACATCCTCCCCCACTTAGGTTCGGTTTACCGACCAATCAGAATGAAGAGGTGTTCGTCACAAGCTCTCATTCTCAAAGTCGAAAACCATCGACTTGGCCGCGCGAGCGCGGCGGAGGCTCACTTCACAGTTAGAGGGTCGAGCAGCAGTTTGTGCGTTCGTCTTCAAGGTCTCCACTTCGATTGTTTACCATGCCTCGTGGCACTGCAAAGAGCGGTGCGAAGACACGCTCCAAGGCTGCTGCCGGGAAGGCGCAAGCCAAGAGCACTAAGTCTCGCGGCAAAGGCTCGGCACTTCAAGAGGCTACTCAGGTGGCCTCCGAGGCGATCGATATCTCGGGTGACGCGGCAAGCGAGCAAGCAAGCGCCGCAGCCCGTTACCCTCGGCCTCAGACAATCGTCCGAGCCCTCGGTTCGTAGAACGTGAGTTCAACGCTGGCAGTGAGGACGATGCCGAGTCCGAGAGCACGCACGATGCTCCTGCGGGTTCTGTGGGAGGGCATAGCCCAGTGCCCAGTGAGCACAAAGATGACAGCGTGCAGTCGCTCGCTAGTGATCAAGGTGATCACAGTCCCAGAACGTCTGTGCGCTCCGAGAGCCCGGCCGGCAAGGCTAAGGGCGCTCCCAAAGCCGGTGGCGAGGAGGAAGAGAATCCTCGCAAACGTCTCTCGCTTGCCGAGGGTCTTGCGCGTGCTAAGGCCTCTGAAGCCGAACGCGCCAAGCCCTCAAAGAAGCGTACAGCCTCTAAGTCTCCACTCCGCGAGGAGAAGGAGCCTCGACGCTCCGATCAGAGTATCTTCGACTCCTCGGATGAAGAGGAGGAGAAGGAGGAGGAAGAAGAGGAGGAGGAGGAGGGTGCTATCGTTGAGCCCCGGGAGGTCTCGAATGACCTCGACCAGCAGCAGCAGGAATTCCGAGCTGCCCAGCGTGTGCGTGGGGGTTCGGTGGTGGCACCCGTCAGCCAGGGAGCTGCCATCAACTCAAGAGGGTATTGGCCTCCCGAGGAGATCTCTGGGGCTGACGTCTTCTTAGAGATTCTCGTCGCACCTCGTGGCCTTGTGGGCGGCCACACTTCTAGGGGCATCTATGAACGAGCCCTTGCTCAGAAAGAACAGTTGTTCGCTGACAGCTTGGAGGCTGCTCGGTGTGTGCTTCTCGCGCCACACCGCATTCCCCTTAAGGACTTCACGACTTGTCGTAAGAAGCCCGAGACCCGGGGTGGTCTCTATCCTCTTTGGGGATACCCCTAGGTTATGCCCGAGAACTGTCCCACGTGGAGTTCTTGTGAGGACATGTTCTGGGCATGAATGGGGACTCTTAAGTACTCACACACGGAGTTTCGGGAACTCCATGAAGATCAGCTACTGTCTCGTATCTTGGACCAGCGTGATATTCGTGTGAGGTTTGCCCACTTGATCAGCAAGCGCATGCGGCCAAGGGACATCCTGAAGCGCGCGGCTTCTAGCGCTCACGATGAGCGCGGGTACGGAATGTATTCATCGTCCGTACCCTGTTCGGGCAAGAAGCCTCGGACAACTTATGAAGCTGCTGCCGCTTCTGTTCCCAGATTGCGACAGCCTTCGGGCAGTCAATCAGAAGCCGTTTAATCGGCTCCCACGAGCCTCGGAGTGGGCATAACCCTCTACTTCACGAGGAGCTGTCGCTTACCGCGACGCCGTTGCTCCTGGAGGATCCGCTCCACGTGGAAGTGGACCTCTCCATTCCGGTCAAGCAGGGGCGGAGGTGCCCTCGTTCGAGTACGAGTACTCGGCGCCTCCCGAAAGCCACTCTCGTCCGAGTGCTCCGACTGCGGGTCCGACACAGGGCCCTGAGGTTGACCGCCTCCGTCAACGTGTCCTCGTGCTTGAGATTGCACTTGGCCTTGGGACTGGCGGTGATGCTGCCGCCCAGGCCGGGAATCAGGTCGAGCTCGCTCGCCTTGCGGGCCGCCTGGACCGGTTGGAGCGTGAGGTTGCGAGCCTGCATCTGCGGGTGGATCGCCGGGCCTCTTCGTCCGATCTGGACGAGGCCTTTCGCATGATCCGACGGATCGAGGCTTTGTTGCCACGTCCGGAGCCGCCTGCGGCACACTCCCAGACGTACGCGTATGGTGCGTACCCGGCGTACTCAGCGTACTCGGCGTATGGCGCCGGGGTCCGTTCGTATGGAGCCCCTCCGACGTACGGTCTTGACCGCAGCCTTGCCGTCCCGACCGAGGCTTGGGTGCCTGCTCCGACGTCCTCGTCGACGACTGTGAGCGGCCCTCGCTTCCAGGGGCTGGGTCAAGGGGGGTCTGCGAGTCAGCAACCCCCTGCGGGTCAAAGTACCGCTTAAGACGTCCAACATAGAACGTCGGGTGCGTCGGAATTGACTTTGGAAGGTCGATGGTGTACGACGCACCATGTCTGGCCAATTCTACAAAAGGTCCGATGGAGCGGTGCTTCAGCTTGTTGCTGCCGACAGAGCTGACAGTAGGTTCCTCATGTCTAGCAACACTAAGTCCCCAACCTCAAATATACTTAAGTTTCCTCTTCCATGTTTGTCTGAGTACTCGTTTTGTTTATCTTGGGCCGCTGCCATGGCATCGCGGACCCTGCTGACAATGCTCAGCTTGGTATCCATAAAGGATTCCACCTGTTTCCGCAGTGAAACTGGTCTCACATCCGAGACCTGGGAGGAAAGGGCTTTCCGAGCCTCTCCCCCACTTAGAATAGAGGAGTCAGTGTCTCCTCGAAGAGTGAGAGGCACTCTGGGGTGGCGGAAGCCGTTCAAGTAGAACGGCGTGAACCCTGTGGACGCGTGCACCCCGTTGTTGAGCGCAAACTCAACAACTGGAAGCTGCGTCGACCACGTACGTGGTGCTGCCGCGCACACACTGCAGAGTGTCCTCGA